AGTTTTGGAATTTTTAAAAAGAAAACAGAAAATTATTTCTTACCCTGAGTCATCAATAACAGGCAACTGATCAAAACCCTCCCGCTTCATTATGTCAATGACCTCTTGACAAGAGATTGAAGGGTGCACAGTCAGGGGAGCTTCCAATCTCAGCGCTGAGACTTTCTCAGACCACCACCTGGAAAGCAAATGGCCCGGTAATAGTAGGCAGCTTAAGATAAATAAAAAGTCGTCAGATAAAGTATTACGAACCATTGATTACTCGAGGGAAGAGCCTCTTTGAACCCTCTAGCTTCCATCCACTGATCACTAACAAATTTGGTAAGGTAATTGCGAATGTTATCTGGAAGAAGGACAACACAACGTTGTCCTTCACGAAGAGATACAGCTGCTTTCAAAGCTTCTGACATGACAGCTCCACTGCTGCCACCTGCATAAATGGAGTGTGTTCCACATTATTAGCATTCAAATCAAAATTTGCAATAATTCCAGGAAAAAGGTATATTATAATTTACCACAGAGAAAACCTTCCTCACTAATGAGTCTTCGAGCCATAACTAAAGATTCTTTGTCGTTTGACTTCCTCCAGCTGTCAACAACAGACTGATCTGATATGGGCAAAGAAAAAGAAAAGAAAGCATTTAATTAATAGAGAAAAACTAATATAATACTTTGAAATAATAAACAGCTTGAAAAATGAACTTACCACACACTGTAGGGATAAAATCATAACCAATGCCTTCCACTTCATAGAAAGAAACATCAGTTTTATTCAATTCTGCTGGCTGAGCAAGAATGGAGCCCAAAGGATCAACACCAATTATTTGAACATTTGGGCAGAGCTCCTTAATTTTTCTAGCAACTCCTGTTATAGTGCCACCAGTTCCAGCACTCATTACAACCATATCCACTTTCCCATCACAAGCATCAATAATTTCTTGACCAGTCATGTCATAATGAGCCAAAGGGTTGCCAGGATTGCGATACTGCAGTTGCAGAGGAAAATTAGTTGTTTGTCCCAAAAATAAAAGACCAAGACAGTAAGAAGATAAGTAAAAATAATTACCTGATCTAAAATAATAGAATTTGGGATTTCCTTACGGAGACGCTGAGCCACAGCAATCAAGCCCTCTGGAGAATCAAATGCGGCTGCTGTTGGAGTCCGAAGAACCTCAGCTCCAAGAGCTTTGAGTGTATTAACCTTCTCATTTGACATTTTTTCAGGCATTACAATGATGCAACGGTAACCTTTGCATGCTGCTGCCATGGCTAGGCCAACACCTGTTTGAAAATAATAATGATATAATTAAAATAATAACATTTAATGTCTTTTAATATTACAACAATAGGACAGAAAAAAAAATTAGGTGCGTAGCTACCTGTGTTGCCAGAGGTAGGTTCAATGATTACATCTCCAGGCTTCAGAAGACCTTGCTCTTCAGCATCGGCAACCATGCGGTGAGCAATACGATCTTTCACACTGCCTCCAGGATTCAGAAACTCACATTTAGCAACTGAAACAAAGTAAATAAACTATAAAATCAAACTTCAAAAATGGAAAAAATTTACAAGCTTTCAATAAGTAATAGCACAAGAGCATCTTTAACTTACGCATTTCACAGCGAACACCACATGATTTGGGAATATTATTAAGTCGCACTAAGGGAGTTTGACCAATTGCTGTTAGAATATTGGGCAGTATCTTCGGCCGTGGGGTTCTAAAATAATAATAGGAAAAAGAAAAGGTGGCAGTGTACACTTCAACAAACATATTCAAAGCATGTATTTGAGGAACTACAACACATACGGTTTCTGCTGGGTGTGAGGTGAGCTTCCAGGATCCACCCCAAGATGCCATTTGCATCCGCTGACTTTGTCGGGTCGAACAAACTCTGTCTTCATGTCGATGGTCCCTTTGTTGGTGACCACTTTATCGAAGACACCAGACATGGCCTGAAACACAAAAACCAGATTGAGTACCGCACTGCGCTCAATGCTGATCTACACTTTCAACAACATGAATAAAAAGTAAAACAGGTAAAATGTAAACAAGTAATAAAGTTAAAAGGGATTTTCATTGATGACAGTTAGTTACAAAATAAAGGCTGGTAAGGTGCATGCTCACCATGATTTGTGTCGTGCACGCACAGGTTATGAGCAGTTCAAAGAGATGAAATAATACGTTTTACGAACAGTGGCACGGGGTAAGCTTCAAGTACAACAAAGTTAAGCTTGTGACTGGTATGGAAACCTGACTATGCAAGAAGGAATAATCGCACCTTGACTTAAATTTATGATTCTGCGAACCGACCCGAGACCGGGAAAGGGAAAGGGGTGAGCGGCCTGATTTAATGTATGGCATAGTACGTTTCATTGTAAAATGCCATATTTTCGTCGAAAAACTTATAAAATTTTAAATAAAAAACTAATTGAATAATAGTAATAAAATACAAAAAAATCAATACGAATGCTCAATGTTGAAAAGATTTAATAACCGGCAGTGTCACTTACAGTGACTAAGCTTTGTTGTGGTGGTGGGTGGACTACTCCCCTCCAATGTACTATACTGGACTGGCAGTGGTGGGGGCAACCTGTTGTTGTTCCTGAGCGGTGTTTTTCGATCTTTTCAAAGTTAACTTTTTTTGGAGGGTCGCGTTTCAAGTGTGTGTTTTATTCAATCCCTGATTCAGATCACTCACGGTGCGTAGTTGCGTCTTTTGACTGAAGAGTGAAGTTTCTGCGATGATGGCACTCCTCGAGACGTCCGAAAACGAACTAACCGCAAGAGCCGGCTGCTGCACACCGAGTGGGTGACAGAGCTTGAGTTGAGTTCAAGAGACCTCTCTAGTTGTCTCCAACCAGCTGCATTACGTCATTACGCCATTTCGCAACGACGACGCCGCGATATAAACAAGGCAAGGCGCAAGAGTTGATTAGCGGCGAACAAGCACAAAGCAAAGCGAAGCGACGCCCGGCCCGCCACTCCACTCAGCACACTGCCCCTGCCCACCCTGCCCCCCTGCCTTGGGCCGAGATTGTACCAGTTGACATCGCGTGCAGGTTGGGCTGCCCACCCATCAGGCGCTGGATGGGTGTATGGATCTCAGGCATGTTATCAGGTGAATATTGATATTGATACAAAAATAGCTTCACTATATTTTTAGCAATATATACTTTATTCATCATTTTAGTTCTTGTAGAGGTATACTAAGTTAAGGTATTTATTAGTTCTTTCCCAGGTATACAATAAAGTTAAGATATTTATTAATTCTTTCTCTGTAGGTATGACATTAAGATAGTAATGATTTATTGTAGGTATGCAAGGTTAACATATTCGCAATACATATCGGCATAGGAGTACGATCCATTTCTATTTCAACAGTTCCTGTCTATGTCAAAGTCAATCTTCGTAGATCACTTTTGTTTCTCACCCATACTAATGAAGTGCAGCAAGTCGGCTGGCGTTACAATCCCAACAACAGTTCTCGTGTAAACGTCTTTTGAACTAACTACAGTAACATACTGCGCCAGGTCCAAAAACTTAGAGACCTTGTCCAGAGAAAGGTTACTTAACACTGTTTGAGACTGTCTATTGATACAATTTTCAACAATATCTGACAGTTTTACAGTCCCTTTTGAAATTGAAGACATAATGTCTGACATGCCGAGCGTTCCCTCCAAGACTCTATTCAGAGAAAAAAAGAAAATTAAATTATGAACGAATTATATGTAAAAAATGCACATTTTCTATAAACCAATTTCAACAAGCCTTACCCTGATTTGCTGACAACTGCCAACTGTTGTACTCCATGTTGGTTCATCATATCAAGTGCCTTTTGGAAAGTGACAGATGAGTTGATGGTGATTGGTGCTTTTAAATTTAAATCTGATACGGTTTTTGAGCTCCACCTGAAATATTTATAGAAGCTTTCTATAAATCGCTTACTTATTTTTAGAGGAATTATAAACATTGTGGAGAATTAAGTTACTCTTAAGTTACTCACCACAGATTTTTGGTCAAGGGCGACTCCATGTATCCTCTTGCCTCCATCCAGCTATCATTTGTGAAGTTGGTCAAATAGTTTCGAATAGTGTCTGGTATTAGCACCACACAGCGCTGACCTTCCTTCAGATGAGCTGCTGCTTTGATTGCCGCAGCAACCATGAGTCCACTGCTTCCTCCTACAAAATTCAAGCATTAAATTACATGTGTTATGGTTGACTTTTTAGATTTTGGGTTCAAAATGTTTTTCACTTACCACAGGCCAGGCCTTCTTCCCTGATTAGCCTTCTGGCCATATTCAATGACTCTGTGTCACTAACTTTTACCCACTCATCAATGTGTGCACGGTCTGCAAATAAAACCATTGCATGAAATCAAGAAACTTGAAGTCATTACAGACATTACAGTAAGTTTTCCAACTTACCAAGAGTTGTTGGTATGAATTCATAGCCTACACCTTCCATACTAATTGGCACGCCAATTTTATTTAAAGATGACGGTAATGCCATGCCAGAGCCCAGAGGGTCAGCGCCAATAATTTTAGCATTTGGACAAAGCTCTTTAATTTTTCGGCTGACTCCAGTTGCAGTGCCACCTGTACCTGCTCCCATCACCACCATGTCCACTTTGCCATCACAACCATCAACAATTTCCTGACCAGTTGTTTCGTATTGACACAATGGGTTTGATGGATTCATGAACTGTCAAGAACATAACACATTATTTAAATCATATGAGTGTATAGCGACATGTTTATAAAGTAAAGGTCACTACTTTTTACCTGGTTAATGAGTAATGAGTTAGGAATTAATTTATGAAGGCGCTGGGAAACTCCCATTATACCCTCAGCGGAATCAAATGAAACCATTGTGGGGACCCGAACAACCTCAGCTCCAAAAGCTATGATTGTGCGGATTTTGTCCATTGATATTTTGTCCTGAATTACCATTATACACTTGTATCCCTTAACTGCTGCAACCATGGCTAGACCAACTCCTGAGAAATGTGAAAAGTACTGGTTGTAAAATTTAAAATTACTGGTTTAAAAGAGAAAAACATGAGGACTAAAAACTGTACCTGTATTTCCAGATGTTGCTTCAATGATAACACCTCCTGGCTTCAAAATACCTTGCCTCTCTGCATCTTCTATCATGCGCAAAGCAATGCGGTCCTTTATACTTCCACCAGGGTTTAGGAATTCTATTTTAGCAACTGGAAAGAGGAAATTTTATTATTGATATATTACCTCCATGTACATTATTTTGTTTATAACATTTTACTGCCACTTACCAACTTCACATTTTAGTCCATATGCCTGAGGGATTTTGTTCAATCGAACTAGAGGTGTGTTGCCAATTGTACTCAGTATATTTGGGAGTATTTTCTCTTGACAAATAGGTCTAAATAAAGAAATTGAATTAAATTTTTTGTAATAAACTTGTTTTATGTAGAAAGGCAGATTAATTTTTAGAATATTTACTTTTCCCATTTTGGATGAGGTGAGGTGGAGGGATCTGCTCCAAGAGACCATGTGCAGCTGTTGACTTTGTCAGGACGAAGAAGCTCGGTCTTGACATCAAACGAATCCTTGTTGTTGACAACTTCATTTATGACTGCAGAGAGATCCTGTAACACACAGAGGTCCCATGAAGGGTTCAACAGACCTCACAGTGAGTGACCAACCGTGGTAGCGCCATTGAAGCGCTTCTGGGGAGGCGTCTAGATGCAAGTCAAAATCAGTGAAAGATGTCTTTGTATGAGAAGCAGTATGAAAGAGATCTCTTCCTAGCAGGCGCCTTGATACGTTCTGTGCGGCGGGTGGAGACGCAAAACTTTGCGTTCCCTGCGGCGGGTCCACCATGGGTCCACCCACCGAAAAGCGTCCTGGCAGTGCCATGAGTCTACTCTAAAATTTTCATAGGCTTCTGATGAAATTTAAAAATCCGAAATTTAGTGAGGCTCGCCTCCAGAGGGGAGACAGCAGCAAAAAGATGTCCCGCACGGAAAGTGTTAAAAGGAAATAGCACATTAAATACTCATTAAATGCGCATTATAGCGCTTGAGACGCGCCCAAATGGTACCACATTTTCGGAGCATATATAATGTGCGTAATGCGCGCATTTAATGCATCCTTTGCTACGGGTGTTTACAGAAAACTACAGAAGCCAAATGTGCTGGAGGCAATCTTACCAGTCCATCCTTGCGATGCGCAAATGGGCATCCACCCTGCTGCGGTGCGCCAGGCGGGCTCATGGTGTGCTCTCGAATCTGCTTGTTTGTCCGGGGTCCGTAGATGAACACGCGGTTGCTGCTGGTACTGCTGATGCTGCGGGTTGCTGGCCAGATCTGGGACTGGTTGCGTCTGATCCGGGCTTGGCTTTTTATACCAGCTGGTCTTCCCTCCTCCCGCCTCGCTCGCCCCCACCCGCCCGCTCTCTCTCTCTCTTCCCCTCTCTTCTCTCCTTCGACTGCGGAGAGAGGTCAACTTAAGTGCTTATCTAACCTTGGGGGCAAGTCAACACGCCAACTCTCAACGCGTTGCCGGCCAGATCTGGTTTTGTGTGGCGTCTTATCCGGGCCTGACTTCTTATACCAAGAAAAATACGTCACGACACCCTTTATCGCAACACCGCGGTGTAAAGGCACAAGCGCAATCAGCGCGAGGAACAAACAGCCTCTGTCCCTGAGCCGAGAGTGTACTATCTGAAGTGTGTCGCTCGGGCGTGCCCACCCATCAGGCGCCTGCTCAAACGGATTCATGAGCTCGGTCGGTAAGGCCTTGTTTGTTTGGCTCCACTCCCGTGCCGTGTTAGTTCGCCCGGTGGCACCACGGATTTAGTGCGCAGTTACTTCGTACCTTCCAAGTATACTAAATTTTGAATCAGTACGCAGAATTTAATTTACCCCACAAATTGTAAGTTTAAATTGGGTGGAGCCAAAGTGACCCTTGCCCGCCCTGGCCCCACCCTGTACGAGCTCCGGGAATTTTCGTATCCTCTGGTATGCAATTGGAACGTCGATCAAGACCATTTTCAGGTTTTGCACCAGGTGGCTGATTCACGCCGCAAACTTTCGAAGTTAAACTAAACCGCCATGCACAGGTGTGGGCGGGTTTGCCTATCTTCTCTGCCCACGGCTCCTTATGGCCCCGTGCGAGAGAGTAGGTAACCCATACGAGCGCGAGGGGGCAATAACTTCCTTTTGACGTGATGTACACATGATTCCCGAAATACTGATTCCCAGTGATTTCCATCCACTTATATTCATTCCTTTGGTTTAATAGTGGTACGAAACGCTAATTTCGAATAATTTGTATCAGTTCCAATACACTCAGAAAAAAAAATTACATTTGCAGCTAAAACATTAGCTGAACGTGGACAGCTAATTTTCGGAGCTATACAGCAAAAAGTTAGCTGTACTACTAACAAAATAGCTCTAGAGCAAAACGGTGGAGCTACCACGCTAACTTTTAGCTGCGTAGCTCCAAAAGTTAGCTGTCCATATACAGCTAATGTTTTAGCTGCAAATGTAATTTTTTTTTCTGAGTGTAGTTTCCTGCTTAGTGAAAGCAATTTCCGTTGATTTCGATCAATTTTAACAAGTGATTCCCAGGGCAGGTGTACTCATGATTCCCAGAGTTATTGCCCCCTTGCACGAGCGCATGCGGTACAGTACAACTACGAAAGTGCGCGGCGTGAATCAGCCGCCTGGTATCTGGTATAACCCGCCTTGCCGGTATTTATTTCAGTTCGCACCGTCCAGAAAGCACCTCAGTTTTTTTCTAATTCACGCGGTAAATAACAAGGGCTTGGCGCCTGCAAGACTGAGGGTAGGCCACCCTGCAGTACACGCTTGCGCTGAAGGCAAGATGTTGCCTACCCATCAGGCGCTCTGAGAGCTAGCTTAGCTGTACTTGGACTTGGAAGGTTCGTAACGGCGAGTGACCCCGGGCGTACTTTCTGGAGGATCCCTTGGTACGTGCCGAACACTAGAACCGAGAATTCGTATGGACGTCCAAGGTATCCTAATCTAAAGACGAATGGCCTTGGTCGCCTGCCAATCTCTGGAAAGGCAACCCGCTGCACCCGCCCATCCCACATTAGTACCAACACCGTGAAGTGAAATAAGTACCGGCAGGAAGGTCGTAACAGTTCTCAAAATGGTCTGGATCGAACAGACCAACTAAAGATAAGAGCATTCGCGGAGCTCGCTGATGTGGGTGGGCGGCGGGTGCTGCGGGCTGCCTATCCAGAGCCCAGCAGGCGATGCTTTCGCAATCTGACGAGGGAGCCACGTCTAGTTCTACTAAATCTGAAGTTTAGAAAACTTGTTGATTCGGTCTGTCAGAGTCAGAATGGTGTATGTGTGTGCTTGACACAACCGATTAGGTGAGGCGTCGCCATGCAGACTCCACGTGAAGTAAGTAGTAGTAGAAGGGTCATACAGAGTCTGAAAATGGTCGGGACCAAACCTACTGATTGCGCACTAAAATACATATTCCTGGAGCTTGTACTGATATGGGAGGGACCATAGTCACAGAGTCATTCTTGCTACACCCAATTTAGATTTAACATTTTTGGAGTAAAGTACTGTGTACCAATTCCAAATTTGGTATAGTTTGAACGAACTGATTGTGTCCTAAATGATGATGCCATTGGTCAAGTTATTATACCATGGGGTGCAGCCAGCTTTGTGGAGCTGATCTATTGTCTCTGGCAAGTACACAAAAACGTCACTGTATTTTGGATAACATATACTTTATTTGTCATTTTAATTTTATTTGGTATACAAAATAATAGTATTCTTATAATAATGTTAATCTAATCTAATCCTAAAATACAATCACATTAAATACTGACAACTCACTTGCAAACCCTTTCAATATGACAGTGTTTCTGTTTTAAAAATTCAACCATAACATCAATTGTATTACAGTATGCTCCAAAACTCTTTCAACAACTACACATCTCTGGTTTTATGACTTTTCTAAGTCACAGTCACAGTACATCACTTTTGTTTCTCACCAATACTGATGAAGCGCAGCAAATCAGCTGGTGTTACAATTCCAATAACAGTTCTGGTGTAAACACAAACTGAACTCACAACAGTTACATACTCCCCAAGGTCCAAAAACTTGGAGACCTTGTCCAGAGTAAGGTCACTTAAAACAGTTTGAAACTGCCTACTCACAGAATTTTCAACACTATCTGACAATTTTACAGTGCCTTTTGAAATTGAGGACATAATGTCTGGCATGCTAAGCATTCCCTCCAACATTCTATGCAGAAAGAAAAGAAAATTAAATTATAAAGGTATGGTGTGAAGAAAGAATATTTTCTTAACCAAAATTAACAAGCCTTACCCTGATTTGCCGACAACTGCCAACTGTTGCACTCCTTCCTTGTTCATCATATCAAATGCCTTTTGGCAAGTATCGGATAGTTTGATGGTCGTAGGTGCTTTTAAATTTAAATCTGACACTAGTTTTGAGCTCCACCTGTAACATTCATGAAATATTTTAATTAGTTAATTAATTAATTGCTTACTTATATGTTTAGTGAGAGTTAAAACATTATGCGGAAACTAACTCACCACAGGTTTTTGGTTAAGGGCGACTCAATGTATCCTCTTGCTTCCATCCAACTGTCATTTGTGAAGTTGGTTAAATAATTCCGAATAGTGTCTGGTATAAGTACAACACAGCGCTGTCCTTCCTTCAGATGAGCAGCTGCTTTCATTGCTGCAGCCATCAAAACTCCACTGCTCCCTCCTGAAATTGTTTAAACATTTGAATTAAACATTTAAAAAAAAAAAGAAATATTTTTCCATTTGTGTTTTGGGTTTCAAACAGTTTTCCACTCACCACATGCCAGTCCTTCTTCCCTGATCAGCCTTCTGGCCATATTCAAAGAGTCTTTATCGTCAACTTTTATCCACTCATCAATAAGTGAGCGATCTGCAAATGACAGCCTTGCATTAAATGCAATCAATAAACTAAAATTCAGATATATCTGTAAAAGTTTTGTAACTTACCAAGGGCTGTTGGTATGAAGACATAGCCAATGCCCTCAACAGTAACTGGCACACCAATTTTATTTAAAGATGAGGGCAATGCCATGACAGAACCCAGTGGGTCAGCACCTATAATTTTTGCATTGGGACATAGCTCTTTAATTTTCCGACTGACTCCAGTTGCAGTGCCTCCTGTACCTGTACCCATTACTACCATGTCCACCTTTCCATCACACCCGTCAACAATTTCTTGACCCGTTGTATCGTAATGAGCCAGTGGGTTCGATGGATTCATGAACTGTTGATACCAAAAGGCATAATATTCTTGAAATCAAATGAGTTTACAGCGACATATTTTTATTGTAAAGTTCACTACTTACCTGGTTAATAAGTAAGGAGTTAGGAATTAATTTATGAAGGCGCTGGGAAACTCCCATTATACCCTCAGCGGAATCAAATGAAACCATTGTGGGGACCCGAACAACCTCAGCTCCAAAAGCTATGATTGTGCGGATTTTGTCCATTGATATTTTGTCCTGAATTACCATTATACACTTGTATCCCTTAACTGCTGCAACCATGGCTAGACCAACTCCTGAGAAATGTGAAAAGTACTGGTTGTAAAATTTAAAATTACTGGTTTAAAAGAGAAAAACATGAGGACTAAAAACTGTACCTGTATTTCCAGATGTTGCTTCAATGATAACACCTCCTGGCTTCAGAATGCCTTGTCTCTCAGCATCTTCAACCATGCGCAAGGCAATGCGGTCCTTTATACTTCCACCAGGGTTTAGGAATTCTATTTTAGCCACTGAAACAAGAACATTTTATTTTTGTGATATATCTTATATCACCTCATGAGCACCATTTCGTTTTCTAGTTTTTTACTGTTACTTACCTACTTCACATTTTAGTCCATATGCCTTAGGAATTTTATTCAATCGAACTAGAGGTGTGTTGCCAATGGTAGTCAAAATATTTGGGAGTATTTTCTCTTGGTAAACAGGTCTAAAAAAAACAAGGGAAACCATGAACACAAAATGAATTTTGTGCTAAGTAGGAAACTCGTTCTTTAACCATACCACTGTAGGATAATACATTCTGTTCGTGCTTTCATCTCAGAGTACTGGAGGAGTGTGTGTTGATTGTGTTGCGTGGGATTTGCTATGGAGTGAAATAGGTAATATTGTTCATATTGGTACAGTATAAATTGTATGGTTCTGATAACAATTTGGACCAATTATCATTAAACACATACAGATAGGTGCACAAACATGACGTGACCCACAAGTACACTTTAAAGTAATCTAGTTTATATAGCAGAAGGATATTGATATTTGGTAAAGTACATGCTGACGATAGCAACATGTTTAAAATATGTTGTTACATTACATGTGCAGTTCGGTGCAGAACACAACCTGTAAAGTACATAAAGAAATAATCTTCTTAATAAATGAAATAGATACAAAAAAAAAGGTAAGTGTATAATGCCCAGTGTTTTGCTACTATATTGGCGCAAATTTATTTTTGATAAAATGAAATGAAGAAAATCTACCATGCATGCATATGAATAAATGTAAATACTTTGGTATTATTGGTTATATAGTAAGAATAAAGTAAATGTTAGTATTGTTCAGTTGTCTCTTCAGAAACCTGTGGCCTGACAAAGTTCAATTTTTAGAAAATTAAAGGTAAATTGAATTAATGTTACATTTGTTGATAATGTTCAATGGCCATTGAAATAATTTGAAGCAGCGATGAAGTTGGTGGTGAAGTCTTACATTTTTCGGTGTTAATGCAAAGGTTGAATTGTTGAATTAGCCAGAAATAGTGACCAACATGTCAGTGAAGCGATAAATGTGACCCACCACCAAAACAAATACAATTTGGGAAATGGTACTGGTAATTATGAATGAAAAGTAACTCACATAAATATGGAGGAAAGGTGTTCTCTGAAATAGACAATACTTTAAAAATTAGTGGTTAGTAAATAATACTAGTAGAAGTCACGAGTAAAAATAATACTAGTAGAAGTCACGAGTAAGAAAGTATTTTAAACCCATTTGTAGTCATAGACATCATATGAGCCTTTTCCTTGTGGCTTGTCTCTTTTGGAAATGGATCGCAAGATGAATGTTGGATTTTCCTTCTTTTTTATCATTTTCTTCATTTTTTTAATATCTTTCTTTCTCAGATCTGCCACTGGTTTTGGCATCTTCACTTGCATCATTTTGCCCTTGGGGCTTTCCAGAGTAGCTGTGCACATTCTGTATGGCCCATTAAAACCAGAGTGTTTGGTAATTTTTAATCCATGCAATTTGTATGGTGTCTTCTTCTTCAAATCACTGCATGTGTATTTGGTGGTTTCATTCAGGGAATCCAAGAAGTTGCTCTTCTATAAAGAAGTAATCAAAAGTTAGAGTTGAAGCTATGTGAAGAAATGCATTATGATTATAGTTTGGAAAATGTACCTTTCCTGTTGATCCGTCAGATTGTTCAGAAGTGTTGTCTGATGAATCATCATCAGATGATATTTTTCGTTTTTTTGAAGTGTTATGGGAAGGTTTTTTATTTTTCAGCTTCTTGTGGTGTACGGAATCTGAATCTGAAGAAGATTCGCTACCTTCGTCTGATGATGAGACCTTCCTTGTAGGCTGTGATAAGAAAGACAAATAAGTTAATGTGTTTTTAAGTTGGATGTGATTTAATGATGTTATGAGGGGAGTGGAGCTTACCTTATTCTTGCTGCTTTTAGTGGCTCTTTTCCCTTTTTTTTTATCATCGGAATCAGTGGAGCTATCTGAATCTGTACTTGTATCGTCATCTGTAGAATGATTCCGTTTTTTGACCAGCTTGAAGAGGAAATTGGATTTGCATGAAATGAATGAAATTTTTAAGCGCGATAAAAAAAAGCCATGTTTTTAAAAGTTACCTTCTTCGGAGATTTTTTCTTTGCTGCCTTCTGTTTCTTTGCTTTAGTAGGTGGGGGAGTTTCGGAATCACTGTCTTCTGTTTCACTTTGTATGGCTCTTTTTGTGTTCAACTTGGTTTTCATTTTCTGATGCTTATCCAAGCCATTAGGGGTGTCCATACATGAAGTGGATTTAGTTTTGACCTGTAATTGTTTCATAATACAAGTTTTAAATGAAGCACATGAAGTAATGACATATAATGTCAGTTGCAAATTGGTGACATTTTGTAATTGAGTGACATTTGTAAACGTACCGTACTGTGTGTTTTCTTTTCAGCAATTGTTACTTTCTTTTCTGTCATAGGTAGAGATGAGTCGGAGTCACTTTCTTGCTGTACCTTCTTTGACCTTATTTTCTTCTTTTTTTTTAGTTTCTGGGGAGTTTCAAAGGCATTTGGTGTGTCAGAGTGGGGGTCTGAACTGTCTGTGTACTGAAATGAAGATAAATAGAGTGTTGATCATATTCAATTGCATAATGAAAGGGAAGATATTACAGTAGCAAGAATTACCTGAGTTAGCGGCTTTAGGCCATTTCCTTCTTTGCTGGTTGATGGCCTCTGGTTGTAATAAGTAACTCCATCAGTAGTGTTTTTCTTTTTGGCATTAATTGTTGTGGCTTCTGAGTCTGATGAGCAGACATTCTGTGAAGGAAAAAAATTTATAGGTATGATAATTTTTAATAGAATTCAAATTTACAAAGGAATATGTACCTTAATGAAGGGTTTGAAGTTTGAAGACTCCTTGATGTAATGCTTCTCCATCTGAAATTATTAAAGAAGGTTGTTGTATAATTCTGTAGTTCAAGATTTAAAGTCATGATTTGTAAGACCTACATTTTTTTCGCTGGAGACAATTGATGACTTTAGTGGAGTTGTCATAGTATAGTCTGAATCCGAATCAGTCTGTAAATAAGAAGCACTTGATAAAGTGTGTTATGGAACAAATTTTTTTAACCATTAGTTCTGTAACATACACATAAATTTATAGTAGATGTAGGCAAGGAGTGACATGATTTCATAACATCTTCATCAGAGGAGAATTTTTCTTTCTTGATTGATGGCATGTCAAGATTAAATGTGTCTGAACCATCAACTTGCAAATCATCATTAATGTCCTGAAATATGTGTAATGTATGAAGTAATTAAGTTGTTCATATAATGTTAGCATTGTACAATCACTTACCATGTGTGTTAGAGTTGGTGGCTCAATATCCATGTCGTCACTTAAATTTCCTTGTGATAGTTTTTTATAATTAACTTTCTTGGCTCTAGTTTTCATATTTCTGGAAAAAGAAATGAACAATAATTAGTCAACTATATCTATGTGAACTTAGGTAATTAGTATAATGCCTGAATAGATTACTGCAAGTAGTGTCATGCCTTTGTAATCCACAATGGGTAATGATGGCTGAACAGTGAGTTGTATGTTCCGCACTTTAGTTTGCTGGTATTAGAAAGTATCCAGTCAATAGCGGTATTGCTATGTGTTGTTGCTATTGAAGTGTTTTTAAGATGCAGGTTGAATTTTTGGAGGAAAATGTTCATAAAGTTCCTCCTTTTCATTTTCATATGATTGATGTTGAAATCTCCCACAATTATACATTTTGTTTGTAGTACATTCTGAACTCTCTTGAAGAATTTATGCCAGTGAGTAATAGCACATTTAGGAGAAGCATAGATTCCAATAACAGTTAAATTGGTCATTTTGACAACAGCAAAATCTATGCAAGCTTTTGTATCTTTGATGGTATATGCATCACATGATATGATTGAATTCAATAGGTTTTTTCTAGCATAAACAGAAATCCCTCTTGGTTTACGAATGAGTCCACTGTCTGTTTTAGCCAATAGTGTGAAATTTTCTAAATCATTAACATCTTTGTGCAAAGTCCAGGTTTCTCCAAAAATTAGCAAATCACTGTTCATGAAAACATCATCATTTCTCACCAAATTAATATGTTTAGTTAGTGATTGTACGTTGTGGTACACTATTTGCAAGTTTTTTGACCTATCACACAAGAAAGAGTACTTGGGAAGTAATGTTCTTCTCTTCCATGATTTTATTTCATGTCCAAGGTGTGAAGTTTTCTCTAAGCGTTTCGGGATTGGGAATGATCCAATTATGTATAGACCATTTAGTGATGTGGCTCTTGAACACCCTACATATAACAGTTCCCTTGACATTCTACCTTTTATATGTAGTACCACTTTCTGTAACGTTTGTCCTTGACTTTTATGTATGGTGAAAGCATGAGCAACAACCAAAGGGAATTGTTTTCTATTCACTTTCAATGTTGAATTTTTCTTTGTTTGAATTGTAACAGTAATAGGTTCAATTGGAGTCCAATCATCAGGTATTTGTAGGTTCCTCATTTTGCTGTGGAACTTCTTTCTTAGCAAAGATCCTACTTTGGGATCATCAAATTTAATCCATAAACGTAGTGGCTTTTTATCGCCATCATTATTTTTTCCTTGATCAATCCTCATTAATGTACCTGTTGCTCCATTGCAAAGTCCATCCTCTGTGTTCACATTGTAGGTCATCATGTACTTTCCAGAAATTTTTAAGGGTAAAGATTTTGGTATACCCATTGTTTGGTTTGTTTTCTTTGTATTTAAAGTGTACAGTATTTGTCGTTGTGCTAATTGAGACCCATTGCCCCGAATAACATCAGAAGCTTCACAAGTTATTAATTTGCCTTTAAGTTTGTTCATAATGTGATTATTATAATTATCAACGTCATCATTTCTTGCAAACAAATGATATGCATCTGAGAGATCTTCTTTTTTAGGTACTGTTTTGAAACATCGTGATGAGAATAATGCAATGTCTTCTTTCTGTAATTTTCCCTTTGCCAAATGGTTTAATGCTGTTTGGAATTTTTTATTACTTTGTCGCATTATACATTTCAGTTCGTATACTTTAAATTTTGGCCATAATTTTTCACTGAAAATTTCTTGATAAGGATTACTTGCCTCTGGATAAAATAAGGCTCTTGCAGCTACTGGCCGCAATTGATGGAAGTCTCCCACAGCAATTATGGATACCCCTCCAAAAGGCAACTTGGATTGAAGCAAATGTCGTAATCGTTGATCAATCATATCTAATATGTGTTGTCCAACCATGGATATTTCATCAATTATTAGAACTTTCAGTTCACGTAACTTAGTTGACAAAGTGTTTGAAACACTTGGAGACAATTGATTTAGGTTTTTTTGATTTAATGGTAATTTGAACAGGGAATGAATTGTTTGTCCACCAATATTAAAGCTAGCTTTGCCTGTTGGCGCACATAATAATACTTTTGGATCATCAGGATTGGTGTTAGGATCAGCATTAAATAACCGAAATAATGTCTGATATAAAGTACTAATAACCAGTGATTTGCCGACTCCAGCTCCACCTGTTAAAAAGTGAAGTACTTGCTCTTCAGTTTTTTCTAGAGTATCTACAACATGCATGACATAGTTCCTTTGCTCTTGATTCAATTTTGTCACCAAATCCTGATAATCTTTGTTGGGCATTTTAACTGGTGATGTGAAAGACACATGAGATGAGTAATCTTCTTCAAATTCCCGTTGGATATCAGCAAAGTTATATTCATCTTGTAGTGAAAAATCATCAAAATCAAAAGTTGGTCTAGTTCCCTTATCAAAGGCTTCTTCGTCACTTTCAGTTCGTTCCATAGCAACCTCCAAAGCATCAAATAATGCTTTATCATCAAATGTGCTGTATTTTTTCCTGATTGTTCTAATTTGCTCTTTGTTGTTGTGAAACTGAGTTTCCAGATCTTGATTTATGATGTCTCTCTCCTCATTCCTCCATGGTACATAAAGCATGACTTGTTCTCTTAAGAAATTTTCAGAGTCTATTTCATAATGATAATTTCTGAAACGAATAACTCGAGGCTGCCTCCTGAGGAATATGTGACCATTATTATTCAACAAAGGGATAGAATTTGGTCCACATTTTGAAGCATATCTGTAATTAGCTGCAAAGTCAGCTAATGACAGATCTTCCAAAGAATGTGGACGATGTACATAGTGTTCAAGTAGTCCATGTTCATAAATATCAGTGGATGTCTCATCCAACATTTCAAGTTCACTTTGACTCTTAACCAAATGTACTCTTTCTTGTGGTGGGAACGTTGGAATGAAAATGCACTCCTCACTGGATTTGGACAGTGGTAATTGTAAGATATTGTACACTGCTTCTTGAATGCTAAGTTCACTATTGTTATGAAATGTGTTACTAATTTTCCTTAGAGATTGCTGTAAATTTTCATTTCCTTCTCTAATTTCCTTGAGTACATTGCGCATAATTTTGCTCATCCCTCTACATGATTTGTTGATGTAGTCAATTATGTAGCATGCTGCCCCATAAGCATCAAGAACAAATTGTAGATTCATGTTACTTCTCATCAAAGTTAATATTTTCCTTGAATATGGGCTTATGAAAGTATCTTTTGGTTTTCTTTTAATGAAAACTTGGTGGGTACGAAGAGTTGATCTTATCACTTTAAGGTACCTCTTTTCAGTGAGATGGAGAGCATTTAAAAAATCTTCATAACTTAAAAGGGTAGTCTTTGGTTCATTTAATATATTTTTTATTTTTTGTAGGATACGTTTGTATTTGGCAAGAACTCTCACTTCCACATCATTTGGTAAAGGTGAAAGAATCCGAGTGGTTTTCATTGGAAAGTAAGGAATGCCAAACCTACAGTCATCACTGTTGCCATTTTTTCTCTTGCAAGTGTGAGAATGCTTATGGGTTTGAAGTTTAACTAAATCCTCTTCTAAGTTTTCAGATGAACATGAAATAATCTTGTCAATGAAAGTAATGACATCAATATATGTATGGGGATCATTGACATTAAATTTAGGAGCACCTTCCAACCACAGTAACATATGGACATGGGGGGATCTAGAAACAGCGAAGAAATTATTGTAGTAGTATGAATCATTAAAGAGCAAAAGAAAACAGCTTGGGATCTCAAAGCAAATTGTTTTAAAGTAAGAACTGGATTGAAGAATTGTGACTTAAAAAACAATTCACAACAGACATTCCAGGCTTCAGAAAGTGTAGCAATGATTGAGGGTATGTTAATTATGGGTTAAGAATGACAAACATTTAAAATTTCAAACATTTGTGAACAGTACCAAAAATTTGGGGGATGGAATATAATATGAAATTCAACCAAGGCTGTTGGTTTTGCAACAATTTGTTTGAGATCCCCACCTGAAGTTATGTTATGAAAAGTAATTTTAATTACCCTCGCTGTTGAAACTCTATTCTGTGGTAGTGGTGTGAAATTTTATAATGCAGGAATGGGCCTTCATGGCTCTTCCATGTACGTTGAACTGCTTTGAACCTCTGGTCAAAGTGAAGTGCTGCAGTAACAGGATCTTTTTGTAATAGTTGTAGCCTTTCATGAGAGGATAATTCTGATGCTTCCTTTTCAGAAATAATTTTGTTGTCAACTGATTTCTTTAAAGCAACCATTAATTCAGGCCATCTAGTATCAGCAGATGATAAAGTAAGGAACAATGTTGGTAAGTCAAATTGTCGTATTTGGGACATCAATTTCACCTTCTCCTGTTGCCAATGAGCAGGGCTACTTCGAATGCCTTTCAAAATCTTGTAACCATCATTATGATGAACAACCCCATTGACATAATTTGAATCACACATATCACGTGCAGTGACATTTTTATTCTTTAAAGACTTTTTTCTTAAACATATTCCAATGCTGTTGTACAGTTTCAATAGTTCCAATTTCTTGGCCATAAATAAAAGCAAGTCTCCTCTTTCTGCAACTCTCCTATCATGTCTTAAAATCAATGACTTTGCAAAATCAGCATATGAAATTTTCTTGTTGTTGTATTCTGGTTCCATTTTGTAACCACCAAAAATTTTTGGGAAAGCCATAAACTCACAATTGTCATCAAATAGAATACTTGTTGGCTTAAAGTTTTCTGCAGGTGCAAATCTTATTCCATTATTTGATGATCCCATGAAATCCATGTTATCACATGTTAATAATGTTTCAAAAACTGCATTGTGACTATAAAACTCTGTATCATGATTGACATCATTCATTTCATCATCAATTTCAGGAGCATACCAATCTGTGGATAATTCAATTCCTTCTTCCATTGCCAGAGGTTTCCGAACAAATTTTTTCGCTGCATTATACAAAAGTTTTGGACGGACATTACCAGACATGTAATTACTGACGTATTGCATTCTCCTGGCAAGTTTGACATGAATCATATGGGAATCCTCCAGTGATCTTGGAATATGACTAACAGTTGTATCCATATCAACAGGCACATTGACAATACCACCTTTAGTTTTGTATTGCCCACTACCACCATTAACAGTCCACAATGTTTGGAATACGTGCCTTGGTGCAAGTAGCCTCTCCTCAATACGATTTAATTTTGCAATGTCTTCATCTACATCGGGCAGTTGAAGTCCATTTGCCAAACATAATTTAGGTATGTTACCTTTGTTTATGTAAGTTACACATGTAGTACAGAACTCTTCAGAGTGTAGGTTTTGAACGGAAAATATTTTTCTAATAGCAGAGGTTCTAAAACCTTTTTCTTTCAAAGAAGACTTTTTTATAGTTTTCACTTGGTTTCTTTTACAAAGTTTCCCACATGAATTACAGATGTGACAATGCAGCTCCCTAATTTCACTTTCATAAATTTCGTGAGCTTTGGCCCATGTAAAAGCAGCAACTTTCCTTTTCTCATTATATGCTGTTTTATTTTTTTCAATCTCTCTGAATTTTTGTACCTTTAGATTTGTCTTTTGACGTTTTATCGCTTTTAAATGGTCATCAATTTCTTCATTATTTTGAAATTTTGAGAATCTACTTTTTTTTTTTAATGTATTAATTTGACATAATCGATTTGCTTGCTTTTCTTTTTTTTCAATATATAGTTTCCTTTTATAAACAGTACTGCTACGAATGTTTGGCATATTTCTAGGTGTCTTCACGGTTCTCGAAAAGTTTCAGGAAACATTACCAAAATTGAACTGACCTGTGCTCTGTTTTTGTTGTCTTCAGGCTGGAGTACTCTCCTGTAGCAGAGGTCACAAGTCCACTTGCAACAAAACACTAATGTCACTTGGAATATATGGTCACTAAATCTGCAAAAGGACAAACATTATTGCACATTTAACAACCAACCACGATATTTTTTCACAAGTCATTTAACAATGTACTTCAAAGAAATTTCTTACTTTGGCAATGTTTTTTGCACACACTTGAGGAAGAGAAGTCAACAGACTTGCCAAACACGACACAACATGAACACAGGAAATATCCAACCTGCAACATTATATAAACAGAAACCACTTATTTTTTCTACATCATAGACACACAATCAAATACTCTATTAATGAAATGAGAGGACGTACCTTTTTGAGTTGTCTTCCAGGAGGAGATTTCAAAAGTCAGATGAAAAAGAACAACACCACCTGACAAAGGGAATACCCAAGCTGCAATGAAAAGGCCCAAGTTTAGGATTAGTCTATCATGTTTTTGCACCACTAACAAAGACCACACTATAATAAATTGAGTGTCCTAGGCAAACTCGCTATTTGTAATTGAAATCGCAGGCTTTAAGTATAAAAAATCCATGTCACGCAAACACATGGCTGCAAGCATGGCACCACCTTTGAGCTTTGAATACTACATCTTTCACAGTCATTATCACCCTGTCACTAGCACTAGATCTACACATCATTTGATGAATGACCACCATCATAATTATGCATGGTACCACTAATTTTAAACTAGAAGAAAACTGTTGGCCACAAACACATGGCAGCACATTCCATCTCTGAAGAAAGGCTCTTCTTGTCACACTCAAATCCACTTTGATACCTCACAACTAATACTCAATGTAATGCACACAGCACACACTAATATGCAAGGAGCATATTTTAAAGCAATTAAAAGTTTTGTTAAAACTGTAGCACTTACTTGCGCAACAGTGGGACACCGACACACAACTGGCATGCCCTTGCCCCTCCAGCATCCACTATCGGGCCTTCGGGCCCTTCTTGGAATTCATAACTATAAACAAAACGCCCGCCGGTCCCCGCCACTGGCCGTGGATCATGTTCACCCCTTTGCAGACATAGTGTCGCGCTCTGTGGAGAGCACGGAGAACTTCGTCGCAAAGCGCGCGCTCCGTGTGAAGTAGTTACCATGTCTGCCCAAAGGTGGCAGCACGGCGCGGCCATAACCTTAGTCTCTTCTTCCACCGTCACGGGACTTAGAGGATTTTTCGAGGATCTATTAAGTAAACTCTTAAAAATGCTTTGATCGTGGGAAAAGGGTATTAATAAAACATTGTCAATCACATCTGTAGAATGCAAGTATCCACTGATCAATCATTTTCGTGGCCCAACACTACGTTTTTCGACATGCCCAAAAGAGCTCTGGCCGGGGACTTAGAATGAAAACACACAAAATTTGTTAAGAGTACGCAAAATTATACTATTAAACCTGAAAAAAAGTTCATTGCTTTAATTGAGACCAGCGTCCCCGCTTCACAGTGGTACTATTGTCATGTCTGTAGGTGTTGTGTGTTCTGAGATGAAAACAGGAACAGAAAAAGGGTTACACAGCACTGAGAACAATACTCGTTCTCCCTACCAACAAGAAGGGAAAGTGGGTTGGTAAAGAACGAGTAAAAATATTAGTATTATTATTTTGGTAAGCTTTGTTTTACCTAAATGGAGTATTTTTAGAATGCTCACTTTTCCCATTTGGCATGAGGCGAGGTGGACGGATCTGCTCCAAGAGCCCATGTGCAGCTGTGGATTTTGTCAGGACGAAGGAGTTCGGTCCTAGGATCAAACGAATCTTTCTTGTTGATAACATCATTTATGACTGCCGAGAGGTCCTGTAACATAGGTCAACAGATCTAAACTTAACATGGAGGGTGACCTGACCGACCGACCAGATACAAAGGGCGTAAAGGGATTTTTTGACCACAAATCTTTAAAGGAGGCGATCTTACCAGTGCATCCTTGCGATGCGCAAAAGGACAGCCGCCCTGGTGCGGCGCTGTGGGCGGGCTCATGGTGCCACTCGTATCTGCTTATCTGACCGCGGGGTAGGCCAAACACGCTGACGTTGCCGGTCGCTGGCCAGATCTGGGACTCGTGGCGTCGTATCCGGGCCTGGCCTCTTATACCGGCTGGTAGGCCGGCTGACCCTCCCCCCTCTTCTCCCCGCTCTCTCTTCAAGCCCTGTGTACACGGCGCGTGCAAGAGAGCCTCTCTCTCTCTCTGTATCTCTCTCGTGACACCGCTCACTGCTAATGCAATAAGAGAGGTCCGCGTGTGCGTGACTATCGCCAAATGACGGAGGCGGAGAAGTGACAAAATTGGCACATTTTAGTGTGATGGAAATCCGCAATTGTGATTCCCATGACTCACCTATGGGGGTTGACATACTAAGCAAGTAAAACTTCAAAAATGATTTTTGTGTATATATTTTTAGAAAACACCCTAATTAAGCCAACATTTGACATTTCTTAGAGCCAGAATCACATATTTGTTTGTACATATTTCTCGTGTAGTAGGCAACACCAAACTCTTACACACATCACACATTCACACTCACAACATTCGCATTCACACAACAGTCAGGTAAAAAATAAAAATAAAGAGAGAACAAAATACCGAAATGGCAAATGACTTATGCGAAGTGAATGATGGTGCTGATGGCCATGTACGTGGTGATGGTGACGCCCACCACGAAGACGATGATTCTGGAGGGCTGGGGCAGCGGCACCACGGCGTACACGATGGTGTGCATGATCCTGGCGGCCGTGTAGGCGCGGAACAGGTTCACGGCCAGGGCGGGCGCGGGGTTGGTGAGGCAGTAGAGCAGGCCCGTGACCCAGAAGGCCGGGATGTTCTCGAGGTCGTTCATGTGAGCCCTGGTGGGTCGATAAAGAGCCAATGTTTAGTAACGACTGTCCACGCGTTGTTTCATTTTAGGGCATAGGAACGGGTAACTAATTCGCGCTGCAACTGTTAATCCTGCACCTGGGTTGTTTCGGCGCACGCGCTGGTGCGGGCGGGTTTGCCTACTCCCTCTGCCCCCCGTACCGTAAGGCGCCATGGCGCCAGTGAGTAGGCAAACCCGGCCCCCGGCCTGCGGCGAAGAGTGCACACCGAAACACCTGGCATACCAGGTGGCTGACGCAGCTCACTCGTATACTGTACCGCATGCACGCATGCTGGCATGTTGTCTACTCGTACGGGGCCATAATGGATCATCCAGAAAGTAAGTCCGCCATTCGCCGCCTTGAAATTGCCAAGTTCAGCCCGTACGAGCTCCCATAGCGCCTTATGGTAGGCAACATCTTGCCTGCAGTGCACGCGTGTTCGGCGGGGTGGCCTACCCAGAGTCTCGCAGGCGCTGAGCTCCCGTCATTTGCCGAATGAATCCGAGAAAAGCAGACGTACTTTCTGGACGACCCACAAGGAGCCGTAGGCAGCGAGGATGGGCTAACCTGCCCTCACGCCTGCATGCGGTACAGTATAACTAAGAAAAGTGAGCGGCGCGGCCTGAGTCAGCCACCTGGTATACATGGACGGACTGAAATAGCCCCCAAAACATCTATGCCTCAAAACTCTCGTTAGCGGACGAGGTCGCAATAATAATAATTCTTGCAGGCGAATTGCACTGCTATAATTATCATGAGGTATTGACTACCGATGAGGCGTTATATCAAGGGTGTTTGCAGCTCATGTTCTGCATGACTGCCCCGTGCGTGCTCTTATTGAGTCAAACATAAAACGCGATTGTGACACGACGATAAATAAAAAGTGTTGTATGACAACTTTGTCACACACAACAATGTGTGTCTGACATTGGCCGGGGCTTTGTGATGGCCCGGCAGCAGACCATTGTGCCCCGTCCCTAAAATATAGTTTATTATTTCTATGATATCCTTTCGCAGTGCGGTCAGATAGCCGAACCGTTTTAGACGTACCGGCGTGGTCGCTCGACGTCCGGGTCACCACCGGTCGGCAGAACCTTGCTATTCTTGTCCATGCGGTCTTCTGGGTTCATGACAACCTATAAAACAATAAGAAGAAAAAAAGGTTAGATAATAAATAAAGCGGGGAGAAGCGAGGCGGTGGCCTGATCAGAGCACTGTACACTGTTAAAAATGCTGTAAGGAAGTACAGTTCGACTACAGTCCGTCCTGTATATTTTATGTACAGTCCAGACTGTTATGATATGGACTGTACTTCAGTGTCGAAGTCAAGTGTTGTATTGACCAAAAAGACGGTTTGCGAAGTAACAGTGCATCCTGTACCGCGTGGACTGTAATCAAAAATAACAGTCGCGGGCGTAGTGACAAATTGACAGGGCGTACTGTAGCAATTTCCTGTAGGTTTTTTTAACAGTGTACTAACAGTACAGTGGACCCTGCCCCCGCGCCCAGATCTGGCCGTGCGTCACGAGGCCGGATACCACCGCGAACGGACGTCATGCGCCCAGCTTTGAACAAAGGCTGCTGACTCGGCTGATATGGAGGCGCGCTGGTTGCGCCACCGCCAGATCTGAGTTCCCTCGCGTGGGCTTGTCCTGCTCCCCGCGCCCAGATCTGGCCGTGCGTCACGAGGCCGGATACGGACGTCACGCGCGAAGACACTGCTGACTCGACAGACATGGGGGACGCGCTGATTGCGCCATCGCCAGATCTGAGTTCCCTCGCGTGGGCCTGTCCTGCCTCCGCGCTCAGATCTGGCCGTGCGTCACGAAGCCGTATGTATACCACGTGAATAGTGACTCTACATCGACAGATATGGGGGAGCGAAATGTTTGCCCCATCCCCAGAACTGGAGTTCTCTTGCGTATGGGCACTTCCCCCCACCCCCCCTTTCCAGATCCGGCCGGATCAGGGCCTGATAAAGTCCTCCGGTGTGACTCAAGCAGATCCATGTGGCGTGGACTCGACAAATCAGGGCGCGACACGTCAGCTGAGTCATATCTGCGTGGACGCTGCCCCCCCCTCCTCCCCAGATCTGGCCGTGCACGCGCAGTCGGATAAGGTTTGGGCGTCAGGTGGGCGCCAAGTGGCTGTTTCCTGCCGCCTGCCTAACGTGAGCCTCACTGCCTGTCAGATATGGGCTCCCACGACTGCCCCCCCCCCCTCTTCTTCAGAGCTAGCAAGTAGTCGAGTCGCGGGCGGCCGTCGCGCTAGTGCTAGTCGCGAGTCAGATCTGGCCGGCTGCTGCTGGTTGTTGGAGGAAGTGCCGAGTCATCCTCATCCTCGTGGCGGCGCTACCGCCCGCCCGGTAGGCAGCCCATCGCACAGGCGCTCCGGCGCGCGGCCTACCCCGGCTCTAGGCGGGCGCCAGCGGGCGCCCCGGGGCCCGTACGTAAGTGCAAGACAGTGAGTGGATTCCCGTACAAAATTCTGTGAGTGCTGCAAGTGGTGCGGGGGAGAGAGAGGGGGACGCGAGCACTCCCACTGACTGTCGTCCTAATGGCTCATCTACAATAGAAGTTGCAGGTCGTAGGATTCCTATTTTCTGTCGGGGACGCTGGGTTCGGTTAGTGTACGGCATCCATGTTGTTTGTTTTCGTTAGAAGCTTCTGCTAGCGGAGCGGCTAGCGTGCCCAGCTCGCCCAGCGTCCACGGCGGTAAAAACAGAACTCCCACGACCTGCTCCGCCAACGACTATCGTAGACGAGCACTACTACTAGGATTGCCGCCGGCCGCCGCCGCGCGCTGGTGTGTCTGGTTTACCTTTTTGGCGAAGCGCTGGCGCACCACGAGCAGCGTGGTGCCCAGCATCTTGAGCACGAGCACGCCGCTGTAGAACACGTAGGCGGCGAACACGGGGTTGTCCGTGGACCAGGCGTGCTGCAGCGCGGAGCCGGCGGCCGACATGGTGTTGTGCGTGAGGAGGAGCCGAAAGAGGACCAACGGACCAAACCGAAGCAACGCCGGCGCTCTGTGGGGCGGACTGGCGGAACGGCCGCCTCCTCTCGTGCCGCGTGCCTCGCGTTCTGTTTCTGTTACCGCACCACGCCGCCGCCACCCCGCCCTCTCCTCCCGCCCCACCATCTCGCCGGCCAGCCGGCCGGGCCGCCCAGCCCACCTCACCTCTCTCTACTCAGTGTCAAGGCCGTGCCCCAGCACGCGGGTCTAACGCCCTAACAATGTCCCCAGTACTATCAGCGTGACTGCGTGTTTTTAGCGGGTCCACCCTTTCGAGGAGACTTGCGTGTTTAATGTCTTACCACCATGCTACTCGGCCGGCTGTGCCCAGCCAGACCACGTGGAGCCCATGCGCAGCTGTGGACTTTGACAGGACGAAGGAGCTGTGCTCGGCCCAGCCCTGATTTTTCGACTTATGGTTCTATAGATAGACTATTCCGCTCGTACCTCTCGAAAAACAAATGCACCGGAAGTCGGCTATTTCAAATCAAAATTAAGCCTCCATAGAGCCCTAAAATATGTTCGAAAGTGACAAATTATTTCTTCTGGGAATTTATTTATGAAGTTTGAACAATATTATGGTGTAATAAGGCCTCTGGAGCCGGTTTTAGATGACTTCCGGTGCATTTGTTTTTCGAGAGTATCGCGATTAGCGGGTCCAGCGGAATAGTCTATTGCTTTGCTTTAGTGTCATGTTTACCCCTTTGCAGCGACAAAACACTCAACTTTTGGGATTCTGTATTCGAGATCGGAACCGGAAGTCGAATTGGCCGGAGAGCTCTCCGATCAACCTCCAGTTGCTCATCCACTGCTTTGCGAATGCAGTTAGTCCAAAACCGAGTGGGCCGCTTACGGACGCCCTCTGTGCAGGGGCGCTTCCTCACTCTTCCTCAATCGCACGTGGCAAAATTGGCAAAATTCGTGTGATGAAAATCTGAAATTGTGATTCCCATGACTTGCCCATGAGGCCCTATGGGGCACGGGCTTACAAAGCAAGTGAGACTTCAAACCAGGTTTTTGTGTGTATATTTAAAAAAAAAACAAAAAAACCAAAAAAAAACACCCTCTCTCAGCCAACATTTGAATTCCTTAGAACCTGAATCACATAATTTTTATCACAAATTATTCGTTTAGTAGGCAACACACACTCCTACACACACATTCATACACACAACATTCGCACATTTACACAGTCAGGTAAAAAAAATAAAGAGAGAAAAATATACGGAAATTGTTAATGACTTAGGCAAAGTGCATGACGGTAGTGACGGCCATGTAGATGGTGATGCCGTAGCCCACCGCCCAGGCGATGGCCCTGGAGGGCTGGGGCAGCGGCACCACGGCGTACACGATGGTGTGCATGATCCTGGCGCCAGTGTAGGCGCGGAACAGGTTCAGGGCCAGGGCGGGCGCGGGGTTGGTGAGGCA